TCAGATACAGTTAAAAAAAACCTTAATTTTTGTTTAAAAATTACATTACAAAATGATTCTTATAGTTAGCATAAACTTTCAAAAAAACAACATTTAATTCTAACCCTTAGTTAAGTCATATTTAACTAATAAAGGGTATTTTCAAAACAAAATCATTAATAAATTACTGCCTCTAGTCTTTAATATAAGAATTAGTTAACTAATTTTAATAGATTAAAAAATTAGTTAAATTAGTTATTTATAATAAATAGGTGTTATCTTCCCTCAAAAACCTTTACTATTCTATTATTAGCCAAAACTATCATTTAATAAAATATTTAACATATATAATTACTACAAAGATTACTTAAAAAAAATACTAGTAGTGAATAATTATGAGAGATAAAGTGTATTTAAGTTTTATATTTAAGACTAAAAAAACTAACTCTTATATGGATTCAAGTTAGTATTGTTTTTTAAGACGTGTTATGGTACAAAATATGACACTACTCCCAAAGATATGAATCGAAGTGGTCGGAGTAATTAAATTTAAATTTTTCAGTTTACAAGTGAAACTAACCTCTGTGATAAAATAATGAAAAATGCATACGCCAATCGTTTTCCATATGTACAAGCATCTTTTTTTTTTCTTCCAAAGGTAATCCTATTTAAAATATTTAAGTTTTTGTTAATTTTTTTTGTGGTATTATTTTTTCAATATTTAGCAACACATGCATACATATTTAATATAAAAACGATAACAAATCATATTATCCTTGAGTTATGATAATTCGCATGGACTCAGGCCAATTTTATGTAGTACATACGGGAGGGCTAATTAAGTAATACCTCCGGTCTTAATATGTATGACCTAGCTCGTTTATAACCTATAAACAAGATCTTATAATTAAGATCAGAGGTAATATATATTTGTTCTTTTACATTTGCATCAAGTTTCAATTTAGTCTCATGTCTAAAGTTTACAAAGTTGTACTTTTCATAAATGGTTAATTGACAAATTTAAATAGTGACTCTCAATTAAATATAAATAGTAACAAAATATACTCTAAATTTAATTCTTTAATATAATTATTTTTACATTTTCAAATTTAAACATATTTTGTCCGTATGTAATTGCAGAATTAATATTTCAATATGCTGAGTCAGTAATGGGATTAAAGGACTAAAAATATATTTTATAAAATTAAAGGATTAAACTTTTTAAATGAAAAATTTAAAAGATTAAATCAAAACTTGATATAAATTTGAAAAGCCGAACGTATATTTTAGCCCAAACTAAGGATATGAAATGTTTGATGGGTTCGTGTATTAATTGAGCAGATTCACTGTTGTGGTTGTGAGGCTGGGAGAAGGAAGCCGTCGCCGAGCAAACAATGCTTTTGTTCTTTTGTTTTTTTTGTCCCTTAACAAAAACTGCATGGAATCTGCAGACCAAACATGTGCTTTGTACTAATAAGGACTGGATCAGAAGAGATTAACCCCTCACAATATGACGAATCAAAATTTGAATCCCACTAAAAAAAGTGCTTGTATTTAGTGTCTGACGATACATTAAACAGGATTACTCTCAATAAAAAAATAGCCATACGCAGCAGGAGAAAAAAAAAAAAAAAAAGCACTGTGCGTGGGTGTCTGATACTAATTATGTCTACAGTACGGCCGCATTCTTTTATCACAACAACGACACACCCACCCCCACCATTCAATTATTATGCAATGACATGCCACCCACCTTAAACACTCTCCTACGTTTTTCAGAAACTAATTTTTTGTCAGAACATCAAAGGCAAGAGAGAGACATCGTATGCAGCAGGTTTGATTTAGTTGTAGGAGAGAATATGTGGAGGGAAAGAAATAAACGAGAAGGGGGGGGGGCTAAACTGAAAAGGTGTGAAGACTGAAGAGTGATGAGTGATGAGAGGTAGGGAAAGTAGAATGCATTGCACCCGGATGCTTAATAATTGCGGAGAGCATTGGGTGCTCATCAGTTTTGATGAGCACCCAATGATCAGATCTGGACCGTCCAGATCTGATCTGGACGGTCCAGATTTTATTTTATTTTTTTTTAAAAAATAATTATTTTAATAGGTATAGGATAAAAAATAAAGATAATTTTCTAACTATCATTCTTTAAAAATATATTTTTTTCTATTTTAAAATAATTATTTTAAAATATTAAATATGGACCGTCCAGATTAGATCTGGACGGTCCAGATGGCTCATCAGGTGATGAGCACCCGGTGCTCATCACCTGATGAGCACTGTATACGGACCCTAATAATTGAATGCTCTGTGGAGACCACGTACCTTCCCCATCATTTCTAAATGTCTTGTATATATGTACTTTTCCTTGTCCCTGCTTTCAGCTAATTCACACGAGCTAACAAAACAGTTAACTCGTCAAGTGATTTATACTGAAGAGCACCTTATAATGGAAATCCCAACAAATTTGCATGCCTTCGGGTCTTTTTTAGAAGACACGTTATTAAAAGAACGGATAATTGTTAGGGTGACTTTGGTGGTGGGCGTGTGTGTGGGGTTGTGGATGGAGTCATTCTCAGCAGACACAGAGGGGCTGCTCCTAACGGAACGGACCCATCCTCCTCAACTGATTCCTGCCACTTCCCTATCCACAGGCTCACATGTCATGTACCAAATCAATCCTGTCACGTCCATTGTTCCATGCATTCTCAATATGATTCACCTTTCTTCTTTTAATTTTTTTTTAAGTCTAAGATCACACCCTAGAGTTTTTTTTTTTTTTAAGTTGCATCTAGCTAACACTTTAAAATATTTTGTGCTTCATTTGATATCCAACACTTTAATTTAGGATTTAGGATTAGGCTATAATGATTTTTTTTTTGGGTATAATTTACACAGATTCACCTTTTCTAACTAATTAGATTCATATTCTTGTTCGCCTAAATAATCTTACATGGAAAATACTACCTCCCATGCTTAATATACCAGTTAAACAACTAATTTAGGAATATTACAAAAATTAGTTAAATTGTTATTTGTCACAAATACGTGTTAGTCTTCCTAAATGATCCCATTCAATTATGTGTCTCTTGGTGGGAACTCCTTATACAATTAATAAGAATATTTTGGAAAAAGATGAGAAGCAAAATGAATATAGATATTATATTTAGGATCAAATCCAACCTTCCAACTAGCTTTTACATTAATGACAGTAAGTCGTATAATATAATCAATGAAATTTAAACATGAAATACTACTTTTGGTCTTGCCACCAAAAAAAAAAAGAAATACTACTTTTGGTCTTTAATATAAGAGCAAACTAGAGATTTAATTTGATCCTAACTATAAAACCTCAATTTATTTTGTTTTCCACATTTATCTATTTTTTTTTCCAAAATAGTCCTTAAAGTGATTACACATTTTCAATAGTTTTCATCAAAGAATGGTTCTAATGCATATAATTAATAAGGATAATTTAGAAAAAAAATAACACACATCGATTACAAATAAATAATTAACTAGTTTGTTTAATATTTGTAAATTAGTTATGTAAGTCTTATATTACCTCTTGTTCTTAATATAAAAGTTAGTTGAGTAATTTTAGTAGATTAAGAAAATTAGTTAAGTTAGTTATTTGAAATAATAAGGATTGTTTCCTTAAAATACCATTGCTAATCATATGTATTAACTAGAACTATTATTTGATGAAACATTTAAAATGTACAACTACTTCTATGACTGTCTTAAAAAAAAGGTAAATATATTTATGATGAAATTGAATGTGAAACTATCCTATTTTTATTAAGAAATTGAATATAATATTAAGAATGGGTGGTAGCCAAACACCCACTACCCCTTCCCACAGGAAAGGCTCCACACACCCGGGAATCGAAAGTGGGAGTTTTCAATCATAATCATAATCATATAAGCTCAATAATACAGCGAAAACTAATAAATCAGCTGCCACATCAGGAATGAAATTGATTATTATATATATGAACACCGTTCACAAGCGTGGTGGGAGGCTTTATCTATATGTTGAAGGAGAGTGGAATTCCAGTCAGATTTGAATACCTCCTTCATCCCACGGCAGGACGACGGTCAACGTCCATGAAAGCAAAATGAAGGAAGCAGCCATTGCCGACGCTCTCAAAATAACCGAACTCCCCCACGTGTCAAGTTCTCACTGGTCTACTCATCAAGATGATACCTAACTCTCCTGAATTTGTCAACACACTGCGCACCGTTCCCCCTTCAGGACATGCCTGGGGACACACCACGTGGCATTGCTAAACCAAAAGCAGTTTTTATGGTTGAGTTTATTATTTTATGCTTTTTAAATGAAAAAATTTAATATGATTGCAGCATGTTTCTATAGCTATATTGTGCAAAAACAAATAAAGCTCCAAGTGTTGCGCTTTGTAAGCAACTAGACTAGAATAGATTACTACCCGTGTGCAGCACACGATGTACAAATGACAATAGTGCAATCTGGACTAAAAAAGTCCAACCTCAAAATATTGCGCCGTAAACTAGTGGCTAAACCCACCAAAAAAAAAAAAAAAAACGCGCTAGCAGAAGTTGAGTCTAACGATCCCTTCTAATTTCTATCACAAGAACTGCTTACATTTAGTACTTAATAATACTTTGAATATGATTGCTAGAAAAATACTTGCGCTCAGAAAAGCCCAAAAAAAAAAAAAGGACCGGCAAATGTGTGCCCTTAAAAGTTTGTAAAGAGCTACAAGTGCAATGATGAAACTATTAAACTTGCAACGATTGTCATGTTTTTTTACCCGTGATTTATTCCTGGTATTTCTCTAACTTCCTACATGACTCATTATCCCACAATAATTGATACTCTTATCATAAGCTGCCAAAAATATTAGTTCAAAGCTACATATTTATGCAGCACAGACTAAACATGTACAAGGATTGAGCAGAACTACTGCCCTCACAAAACATTGCTGCCAAAATATAGTGATAAATACAGTCAAACTAAGATTACAACAGCCAGCCTAGGTTCTGAATCGTCTCTTCAGAGAAAAGCCACTTTCAGAAAGAAGCCTTGACAAAAATCTCTTGCTTCTATTATCAGTGTGCTTTGCTTTGTCATCACTTAAGTTGCTTATCAAAGACCAGTGTGTCTCAAAGTCAGGGTCATAACCAACTTGCTGCATGGCCTGCATCATCTCTGATGCCTTCTTAAGATTCTTTTCCATGCGGAGAGTGTTGATTGCAGAGCAGAACATTTCTCTCGTTGGAGTTTCACCATTCTCAATCATGTCCATTAGGAACCGTTCTGCTTCTTCTGTTCTTCCATGTTGGCAGAAGCAATGGAAAAGCATTTCCTGCGTTTTGATTTTTGGTTTGAGATCATGGACAAACATCTCAGAATATAAATCCAAAGCTCTGTCCAATTTATTTTGTGCACAGAATCCACAAATTACAGAGTCATAACTGCTGGAGGTTGGAACGTTATGTTTCTTCAGCATGATGTTCATAAGGTGAACCGCTTTGTCCAATCTTCCATGCTGGCAAAATTGCTTAACCAGATTATCGTAATTGATATTCTCTGGGGTTAAAAGCCCCTCCTGCATCCTGTCCACAAAATTTTCTGCTTCCTGTATCTTACCATGAGAAAGAAGGCCTTCAGTTATTGCATTTTGAATGACTGAACCATGACTCCATCCCCTTGATTCCATTTCTTGACTAAATTCCAGGGCCTTTTGCAGTTCCCCAATATTGCACAGGCTACTTATAACAAACCTCATGCTGCGGCTGCTAGGTTTGAGTTCCTTCTCAATCATAGTAGTTAAATAATGCAAGGATCTGAAAGTATCTTTACAATGCAAGAATCCGTAGACAAGAAAATTATAGGTGACTTCATTGGGTACAACTTTCTTCTCGTCCATTTCATCTAGTATCTTATTAACAAGAGAATTGTTTCGAGATGACAAAAGATAGAATATAAGTATGTTATATAATACAAGGCCATCAGATGTACCTTGTTCAAGCATAAGGTTCTTCAAGCTTAGGGCATCTGGGACTCTGCCGGTCACACACATCATTCGCACCAAACTCCGATAACTTGAGAGGGTTACCAAGTTTTTTCTTATAGTAAACCCAAGTATTTCCCCAACTTTTCTCAAATCATTAGCTTTGAAGCTCGCTTGAATAAGTATATTACACACTTCAGAATCCAGAATTAGTCCTTTCGACAAAATATCCTGAAATAATGTGTCTGCTTTCTCAGTGTTCCCAGAATTATAAAACCCATGGATCAATGCACAATGAGAAGAAGTAGAAAATGCAGAGTGCTCTTTCAAAATAATATCTTTCAATGCTATAGCTTTGTCATGTAAGCCAGCCTTGCAAAGCTGATCGATTAACAAGACAGAAACATCCAAACAGGGTGCCAAATTTTTATCCAGCATACCATTTAATATGGAAAAGGCTACATCAAACTTCCCCTCCTTAAACAAACCTCTAATAAGATGATTATAACCAGCATGATCCAAGACAAACCAAGGCCGTAGCTGTTCTAAGAACCCAAGGGCAAAGCCAGAAAAACCAGTAGCACAGACTACTTCAAGGAATGCGTAACAAATACCCGACCTTTGGTGAGGGTATGATAGCAGCATGATTTCAAGAAGCTGCAATGCCTTCCCAATCATTTTTTGATGACAGATATAAGTAAGAAGATCTTCAAAAACGTAAAATGCTGGTAACCAGCTGTCTTTTTGAGCAACATCCCAGTAATTATGGAAGTCCCTCATGTTTCCTTTTTTACATAAACTCATTAACAGGGCAGTATACGTCTCATTCTTGACACGAAGTTTCCTTTGAAGCATTTCCTCCAGGATAAACTTTGCGTTGCTCAGTAAGCCCTTCTTGCAGTAGGCCTGAACAACCAAATTGAGTGTTTCCTGGTCCAGTTTACAGGCCAACTGCGGCATTTTCTCCAAAAGGTGGGTCATTGACTTGATTTGTGACCTAGATGAGCAAAGCCGTCTCACTAACTCTGAAAAGTCAGGCAACAGCAATTCTTGCCCCCACCTAAGCATTTCTTCTACCAAAAGAAGTGCACTTTTTAGGTTACCGTTGATGCATTCTTCCCTAATGAATGAGTTGAAATTAGGTACATTGGAATCTTCAAGAACCCCATTAACGTGGTTCTCATACTGGTCCAGGTCTGTATCTAAATAAAGTCCATTTCCAATATCATCAAAGAACTCTGTTTCTGAGAGTCTAACATCATTGTCTCGCTTCAACCTCACAGTCAACGGATTCAGCCCCAAAATGAGAAATGCCTTAGAAAGTGGATCCTCAGACCAAGAAAGTTCAATTAAGCTACGGCTCTTCATCTCTGAAACCAAACCTTTTGCTTCTTCAAATTTTCTAGCCTTACAATATCCTGCCAGGAGAACCCTAAAAGTTGACATGTCAGGTATTGTTCCCCTATCCATCATCTCATCAAGAATGCCACGTGCATGCTTCCACATTCCAACCTTAAACAACCCACTTATAAGAGCATTGTAAGTATATATTAGCGGTGAAATGCTTTTTGACAGCAAATCTGACAAATAACCCAGTGCATTTCTCAGCTCCCTTCATGACAATTCCAACCAATTAGAATCCCATAGGTTGCTTCGTCAGGATTGAAACCTATATTTTGCAGCTCTAGCATAAACATTCCCGCTCTGTCCGCGCCATAGCAGATGCATATAGAATTCAGAACTCTATTGGCAGCCATTACAGTCGGGGTACGTTTTACTTCAATGAAGAAACTAAGCAGATCTTCAAAGTCCCTCTTCTCACAATAGCCAATAGTAATTTCATCAAGAACTGAGCTACTCATCTCAGAATTGTAAGGCAAGACCTTCTTGACCAGAGTTCTAGCTTCGAGAATATTTCCATTTCTGCAAAGTAGTTTCATGACATCTTCCAACGTATTCATCTCGGCAATACTCAATGGTGGACCCAAATCCACCAAATCCAGTGAAATTCGAAATGCAAGTTTTTTTTTCTTCGTTTGCACCAAAGCATTTAGGAAGGCACAATAACAGGACCTTGAAAAAATCATACCTCGTTTTTTAATACAGTCGTATATTGAAAAAGCTCTTTCTAGCTCTTTCATGCCAGCATAGCCTTCAACTAAGTTACTGTAAACATCATGACAATCCAATGAAACTCCACGACCCTCCAATGTAGAGAGCAAGTGCTCAGCTTCTTCAAGTAACCTGACTTGAATAAGCAAGGAAGCCACGACTTCATACAACATAGTAAGATGCTTGGATACCCTATTCTGTTCATCAACCCGCTTGAATATTTCCCACAAGCATCTGACCTTGTCCAACTGAAGCTCATCTTTGAGAGACTCCGACTGAAGACCTAATAATATTTCCAGTAAATTTTCGGGTTGCAGCGCAGACACCCTCCAGAATCGACGAGTGATTTCTGGGATTACATCAGAAATCCCCAAAAGAAGGTCTTTTAGAGAAGCAGTAGTATAGTCCCTGGATTTATCATCAGAAAAATAAGATTTGAATAAAACAGACTGAGCGATACCAAGCAAGTCGATAGAAGACAAATCTGCCTGGGTCGTCTGATTCTCTTTGCTAAAAGAAAATGGAGAAGAAGTAATGGCAGCCAATTGAAGGTTGAAGAGAAACCGTGGGAGGTAACAGACGGAAGAAAGAAGCGGACTGAAGGAAGGCTTGAGGTAGCGCAGGGTAAAACAAGAATGGAGGATCATTCGGGGGAATCAGCGACGAAAGGCAGGGAATGAGGCCTACGGACGAAACAACGTCGTTTAATCGGCGTCTTCCCCTTCTGCTGGAAAAAATAATTTTGCTGCATGGCTGACAATTGAGATACACATTCGCTACTTGTGAAATACTCTTCCGATCTTTAATACTCCTCCGGTCCTTATTATAAGACCTAATTTGACTTTTTATTTGGTCCTAATTATAAGATCCAATCCATTTTGTCTCTTATATTTATGCATTTTTTTCCAAGATAATCCTTCTAATAATGATAGTTTTAGCCAATATACTTAATTAGCAAGGATATTTTAGGAATGACAACACTTATTTATTATAAATAACCAACTTAACTTACTTCCTTAATCTCCTCAAATAAGTCAATTGGGTCTTATAATTAGGACCGGAGGAGTATAAGACCTACTTAACTAATTTAGTTATATTAAAAAAGTTATGTAAGTTAGTTAATTATAAGAAATAAGACATTTTTTCTAAAACACCATAATCATCTTCCTTAATATCCTCTCTTCCTCTTCTGCTTGATTATGGTTGAAGAAGTATTTATAGAGACAATTTAAAAAATTGATAAATATGAGAAATAGATTTTATATTTAGAACCAAAATCAACTCAACAATTAAATCCTATATTAAAGACGGGAGGAATACTAGCTAAATATTCCGAATAGTTACAGGGAGATGAATATGATCTTATGTCTTGTTTAACAGTCGAACGTCACTATGTACGTCACTTTTTATTTATATTTACTACTGGCGGATCAGAGGTTCCTGCAACTAAACCTCCTGTAACATTATATATCATTTCAACTCGCGCATCTAAACATTCTTTGCTTTCCATCGACTACAATTGAGGTCGGTGAATGAAGGGACGGCATAGCATTCTTGTGAATTTACCAAAAATTTGCATAACCTATGATCAATGTCTCATTGATAATAGGCGTGAAAGACCACTACTACCTCCGTGGTTGTTAGAACCAGACCAGCCGATTCCGCCCCTCCAGCTGCAAACCCCACTACGGGCAATTTTAAGAGGGCTTTAACTGGTTAAAACGACCAAGAATCAATAGAATCTGGCAAGGAACGTTTTTTTGTGCTTCTATTTGTATTTTGGTTGGTTTTTTTGTTAATGTATTAATGATTCTAATTAATATATTCATAATTCTTACCATTTGTAATAGATGATAAATAGTTTTTTGAGCTGACCACATAAAAGAATATGTCAAAGATGACGTGTATGAGACCAGTATGAATAAATATTTGGGTATGTGCGGCAATATAAAAACAAATATGTTCAAGGTAATTCATTTTCATATGCAATACATTTTCAGAAAAATGAAATGAGATTGGTTTGCCCACGGTTTAGTAAACCATTGCTCTGATCACGGCAATACCCAATCCGATTTCGGCAATATTAACCGCCCCTTAAAATCCATCGTTTGATAAGTGAAAGTAACCCTTCAATCTGGGCAACTTATACTCGAAGGGAGGCCAAAGAAAGTGACAATGTGCCCTTTGCAAAATTATACCTTGAAGCCTATACTGATTCGAGGCAATTTTCAATAATAAATTTTTGTGGATAGCGGATGCCCCCACTATTCCATCAATCACTGATGACGCTCGCAGGGTTGTCCAGAAATCTAGAATCCGAAACGTAATGGAGTTCGCTTGACCATTAATTTTAACTTCATAAAGGTCGAGAAAAAACCACCTAGATTTCCGCGAATTTGTTTGCTACCAACCACGGATGGATCCAAAGGGGAGAAAAATCAAACGAGCTGGGCACTCAACAAGAGTGAATGATCGTTACTCTATATTATAAGCTCAACATATAAGATAAAGCATTAACATAATGTGACCATCAAAGGCAATACAGTGCCTCAATTGCCCAGTTGATCCTTGTGACAAGTCTAATCCTGCTCACCATTGTGGGAAGTTTCAGACACTCCAGAGACTACGTTGTCATGCTTCAAAGGTCATCACCAAAAAAAATGTTGAACGAAACATATAGTGCTACCATCACTCTTACTAATACAATTACCACCGCTACTTTATGGATAACAGTAACACACAATGTCATGGGTTAGGCTTCAGCAACAAAATAAACAAATTAGCTCTAATACGTTTTGTCATGGGTTAAGCCTCGGCAACAAAATAAACAACTTAGCTCTGATACGTTTGGCCTCAAGAGCATGTAATTTTGAACAAGACTTGCTTCTTACCAAAGCAGCAGGCGAACCAGGCAACTAAAGGTAAGTTACGAGACCACGAGGGAAAAAAATGACAATGCAGAGTTCAAAAGATTACACACAGCAATTAACCACCGCCAATTTTAATACTTGGCAAAAGCATGTTACTTGGAAAAAAAATATATTAAAAATAAAACGAATAGTCAACATCCCGTAATACTACGCATGTCACATTACAAAATGCTGTTTTATTCACCTCACAACAAGACAGTCATCCTGCAAGACGTTTCACCCATGGTTCATAGCAAATTCAGTCTTCAGGCAAGGCCTCCCGTCAACCAATCTCCAATGCCATTCAGATGTTCAAAATGACTGTCTTCGGAGGTAAGACATGCTATAACAACCCCAACTATAAAAAGTTGTGCCTAAAGCCACAAAGCAACTTACGTCTAACCAGATTACATGAAAAGCCAACGCATTCTCCATGACACAATAGGCACTAGACAGACACAACATTTATATACTATTTTATACTATAATAAGAATAAGAATGTATGGACACATCGTGGCAAAAAGAAAACAAATCCTTCCCCAATTACTATGAAAGTCACTTAATTCCAACCGGGAAAAAAAAAAAATTCTAATTCTACAATGCATTTGTGACTCAACCTGGAAAGCCAAATCTACTATAGAAACTGACATCACACAAAACCCTGCGAGGGCCTACCAGGAGTAAGCCAGAAAGCTTGTGTTGGTTATAGCCAAATAGAGAACATGAGAGATAAGTTCCACAAGAGATTGCATTTGATTAGAGAAAGACAATAAAGAACATTTTATATGAACATTAACCTAACACATCATCTTGAATTTTAAACAGCTTCCATGGCCAGATAACTCAACAGAGGGCACCAAAAACCATTTGAATCAGGTTATATAACTCTTCCCAGAAACATGTAGCTAAGTGCTAGACACCAATTAAAACTGATATTGGTCCAATTAAGCTCCTAGTAACAGAAGATTAATTTTGGAGAAGTACCTACTGGTGAAATTACCAGGTGTTAACAATCCATCAGAACACAATTAAGACACATTTTTCAAAGGGAAAATGGAAGAATATCATAAATTCAAATGCAGTCTGGAAGCCAAACAAACTCAAACAAGCCCTACGGATCCAGTTTGTTGTATCCATGCATATACAATACTGCAAACTCATAAAACAGGACACTAATTAACCGCATACCAATAGTGCTATCTTTGCAACGGTAGATTTCCACTATATGGCTTATATAAAAAATTCAACAGCAAAATGAGAACAGTTTCATACCTCTAATCAAACCAAACCCACAGAGAGTTTGGCCATATGAACTTCAATTATGAGACTGCTGCATAGTGAGAACAGCTCATACCTCCCACTCAACAAATACTAAACTAAATCCATGAGCACATATTTTAATGAGTAAAATAGTGCCACACAGAACAAAACATTACCTACTTACGGTGATTGATAAAGGTGTCAATACATGAAATTCAGACAACAAACCACCACCAATCTTTTACGTATATGATCAGCTTAATCAGAATTAACATCATTAAATTCAAATAAACACAAATTCGTGCTACAGACGATTAAAAAAAGGGCAAGCGAAGGGGGGAAAAAAAAGCTAGTAAGCTTATACAGCTTCCAGAGGATCACAAAAGCATCATAGTTCTAGTTATAATGACAAGAACTAGTATTGCAAAGCAGCAACAAAGGCAGGCCAGCTTTATAGGTTCTTGGGAGCACAAGTTATCAAGCTTGGGAAATAAGGTAAAGTGAACATGGCCAATTTCAATAGTCTCCACATATGTTTGGTCCTCTAAGTAGAAGCATCAAGGTAGGCCATGAGTTTGTCAAACCCTGGTTCATCTGATCTTCCAGTTTAAACAGTAGGCAGGCTTCAGGCTTCACATATCTCAGCTGTATAAGTGGGAAGTGAGAGGCAACAAGGTAAAACAAGAGCATCAGAATGGACAGTGGTCAAGGTTGTCACTGGCCTAAATTATAGTAGGTTGTCAGATATAAGACAAAAGATTCGGTGAAAACTGTAGTCTACCTGCGGGTAACCATGAACAATTTTTAGTAAGCATGGTTTCTCCTCCGAGAAACACTGTGGTGACTAGACAACCTGGTAACAGATACTAAATATCAGCACTGATGAGCTTTGAAACAGCCAGAAATTGAAATCAGCCAATTGGCCTCTCCCCAACACGGACAGGGAACACTAAGGAGTCTCATACAACACAAATCAGACCAAACCTACAGTTCCAAACAGGTTTCATGGCACAGAAGCTTCAAACATGGTTCCTAAAAAAGCTTTAGGAGGTGTTTGGATGAGTGTATCACAAATCGAGACAAACTCGTTCACATATTTACTTCGTATACTGTAAAAGACTTTTTAAAACCATGGTTTTGTTTCCACCCAAACACCCCCTTAGTCTAAAAATAGGCTCCATAACAGTCTTAGAGAAAACCTTTAATCCCCATATAACATCAGAATTATGTCACGCATTCACCCAGGAAGAGTAGCATAAGCCAAAGCACACTAAAAAATCTACAGATAAAGAGAAAAAGGCAAATATGGTAAAGTTTTTGTTACCCAGAAGTGCCAGTCCGTCCCAAAGAATAACTTCCATAAGCCCCGTAAGCAGCGCTACCACCAAACTACAAATGAATGGAACAATTTTGCAATTGTCGAATCAGAAATAAATTAACATGAAGAACTTACACATAACTTCACAATTGCTTATGCCTAGAGTACCTGGGAACCACCATAGCTTCCATAGCCATCACCAGCAGTTAAATCACTAGAACCACCATATCCACTTGAATAAGAATGTCCTCGCCCATGCCTTTTACCATCTCTAGCATCATAACTTAAACCATCCGGACCATCAGCAGGAACAGGAAGATACGGCAGAACTGGAAGGAATGCAGAAACAGCCCCCTCCCTGTCAAAAAGATTTGCTCTTAACCGTGTAAGTACTTGCACAAGAGCATCCTTTGCAAGCTCAAGGTCTCCGGAAATCTGATCAACAAAATAATTAAATAACTAGAGGAAACAATTTTATTCAAAAAGCAACTGTAAATGTCACAAACAAATTCAGCAATTCTAAATAAAAAACACAACTATAATAACCTTACCTGCACCATTTCATCATCTTCAGATGCTATTTTAGGAAGACTTTCCTTTGACAGGATGCGGATGTTAGCTTTTGTCAGCCTCCTCATCTCAGTTATGATAGCTCCTCCTTTACCAATAAGGCAACCAATTCGGGAGGTTGGCACCAGCAACCGTGTTGTGAATGAGATAATTCCTGAATCTCTCTCAACCTTCTCACTGCACCGGGGCTGTAAACGTACAGCTGCTTCAATGGTTGGAGAAAATGTTTCTTCAAAGAACTGCAAGAGCATAATTTTTAAAATTTTGCAATTAAGCAAAAATCTTCAACCTATATTTCATATGCACATAATTAGAAATAGTTCCAATGAATGATCAATAGACAGCAATTCACCTCCTTTGTTGAAATAATTATAAGGCAATCATCTCCTTCTGTTGCAGAGCTATCAACCTTAATTGTTGCCCCAGAATCCTGCCTGATTTGATTTATTATAGCACCACCTTTGCCTATTACACCTCCAATGTTTCCAGTTGGACAAACCAAACGAACCGAAAATTCCTTTGAAGATGTTTCATCCCTTGGTGCTGGGTACAAGGATCTTGGCCAGTCTCCAGTATCACCTTTATATCCCCCATAATGACCCACAAGAGGAGCTATTCCCACAATTGGACCTCCAGCAGTTGGGCCAACCAGCGAACCACTCGTAGGATATACACCAGGCATTGCAGAGGTAAGAAGAGTCTGAGACCGTGATGGGTTGTCATGAAGTCGACATGCAATCTGATATAGAGCCTTCTTCACAGTTGCAGCATCACCAGATATCTGCAGTACCCCGAACAGCACAGCCATAAGGGTAAAAAAAATATCACATAACAGAAACAAACTAAAAGCAAAGTGTGCCAGCCACATCCATAACATCAGAAAACAGGACAAAACCACAACATCTAAATTACTAAACACGTAAAGAACAATAGGTTTAAATAAGAATAAAACGTAATATAATAATTTAAGACTGATATGGAGCAGGTACGCATGTTCCGTCAAGAAAAAATAGTTAACATACATAATGGCATGAATTATATTTAAAACAAAAACAGTGAGACGAGTATTTCACTAATAATAATTGCATAAATCACAATACACCGGCCATTTATCCTCAGAACAGCAGGAGTAAAACTAAAATTAAACTAGTGAAACAACAAAAGTGAAATTATCATTACAGATTCAAAAACCAGAAAAAAATGATATGGACAAACCCATGCATCATGTAAGTAAAAAATTTAAGAAACTTTTTGCAATCAACAGGGTAAGTTCATTCCAGTCCTGAAAACACAATTACAAATAATTGTAGAAACAAATGAAAGGATCACATGTCCTTCTATGGTTAATATCAAGCAGTAGAAAAAACCAATATTAAGAAAACCTATCCAGTTTACCTGCACAAGTTCATCGGAGTTCAAGGCACAAGGAGGCAAATGTTCATCCTTTAGTATTCGTATCTGGGCCCCAGTATCACTACGGATGCTCTGAACAATCTGACCACCTTTTCCAATCACACAACCTATTTGATCAGAAGGTACAAGAAGCTTAGCAGTGGCTTGATGACCTCCTTCGGTCTCCTGATCACCATGCCCCTCTTCAGCAACCACTCTGTCATGCACCTTGAACAGAGCATCCTGTGCTGGTGATACAAAATTACCACTATCCTCAAAGGCATTAGTCTCATCACCGGAGCTGTAGATTGTAATAACACGCTCTTCACATCCAGGCACAGTCTCACCAATCCTAATTTTAGATTTAGTGTCTATCCTTAATTGTTTAACAATCTCACCTCCCCTACCAATAACACTACCAATCTTTCGAACAGGGCATAAATAACGGTATACAGTATCTTCTGGATCAATTATAAACTGCTCTCTTTCATCACCTGGATTTCTCCTTTTATTTCCTCCATTCTCATAGTCAGATTGAGAGTGGGAACGCTTTCCATAACTACTTCTAGGACCGGCCATGAGGTAAAACAGTTTGGGAGCAGCCCAGATAGTCAGATACTCTACATAGACCAAGGAAAGATAGTGAGAAACCCTACAAAGGTTCACAAACTATACAAGAAAATTCATAAAGGTTATTTGCCTTGACTAGGAGATAAAACATAATCCTAATGCAGTACTGGAATAACTACCTAATCCCCTATAATGACGATAGAAATTAACGATAACGTTTCCAGCTCGCTTACAAAAACTTGCATTTGAAAAGCCATTTTAATGTCATTCTAGAACGAGGGTGACCATTCATGTAAATGTGAATGCAAAAATTCATGCAACACACGAAACACCACCTTGCAAGTAAACTCCTAAAATGCCCTAATCGTACCAGCGCATCAAGCGGAAAGGGATATTATTCTAAAGATGTCGATCCAAATTTATCATTTAGGCCAACCCAGGGACGTTTATATCAATGCGCCGCGAGTAAACAGGAGGGAAAAAAATCTCTAGCAAAGGTAAAGTAAATTACATGAGAAATCAGTCCTCTTTCCCGGCAAGGGAAGCTAACTTTTGTCAAGCGGGAAGCTATCAAGAAATCTATGAGGGGTGAAAAATGGTGAAAAAAACAAACAAGGAAAGTTAACCAGATCTTGGCGTGGACTTGCGCAGCAGGAGAGAGAGATGCTTACAAAGAACGGATGTACAGCGTCGAATTGGGAAATACGAATCGTCCACAGCAACCGGAAGGGAAAACGATAACGAATGTACTTAGTATTAGGGTTGGCAGCCTTCCATATAATATTAATAAATCATCACCGCCATAATCCACCCGACCCGGTTCAAAAGGAAGATTAGGAAACTTTCTTTAAAACAACCGCACAATTACATTTAATTTTATTTTATATATAATAAAACGTTTGTTAAACCCAATATTAATAATTAATAATTATTTTATCAATTAACAGCGTTTAGTTTTTTTTATTTTATAATTGCTGCTCTAAAACTTTGTACATGATATCAACGCAACATTTATATTTACCTTTACAGTTTAATTACTAAAAATATTTTCAGATAAAAAGGATAAGGGTATGATAATTTTTTATCTAATTGGATTAAAAGGACAGATTTTAAAGTTTTGATAATGTAAATTTCTTATAAGATAAATAACATATAAATAATAAAAAATACACATCTTGATTTGATTGGAAGCAAACGTATTAAATATACAAGGTTGAGTAATTGCTTTTTTCCTTTCTTATATTATTATTATTATATAACAAACGTTCACTTCTATTCATACAAGATTGGATACAACCGACGGCCAAGAAAAAGGACAACATCGATGTAATCTTTTAATTATCCTATCAATCACAATTTTTAAGGTAAAATTACTTTGTTACTAAGGAACTCAAATACTACCTCCGGTCCTAATTATAAGAGCCAGTTGACTAATTTGAGGAGATTAAAGAAGTAAGTTGAGTTAGTTATTTATCCTAAATAGGTGCTGTCTTTCCTAAAATATCATTACTAATCAATTGTATTGACTAGAACTATTATTGTTAGAAGGGTTACTTTGGAAAAAAATGTATAAATATGAGAGACAAAGTGAATTAGGGTCTTATATTTAGAACCAAAATAAAAGTCAAACAGAGTCTTATACTACCTCCGGTCCTAATTATAAGACCCAGTTGACTTATTTGAGGAGATTAAGGAAGTAAGTTAAGTTGGTTATTTGTAATAAATAAGTGTTGTCATTTCTAAAATATCTTTGCTAATTAAGTATATTGGCTAGAACTATCATTATTAGAAGGATTATCTTGGAAAAAAATACATAAATAAAAAAGACAAAATGGATTGGGGGTCTTATAATTAGGACCAAATAAAAAGTCAAACGAGGTTTTATAATAAGAACCGGAGGTAGTATTAAGGACCGGAGATAACAATATGATACCCTAAGAAGAAGAAAATTGTGCATTCTCGCGTAACGATCTCAAGAAATAATGGAATGGGTCCTAATAAACTCTCATTATTTAAGTCTCTTTAAATTGTCCATCAAGATCGTTATAGTCAGCTTTTTATTGACGGAATCAACTGTCCAGAACTTCTCACAGATTTTTGAAGTAAAGAAATTAATTATTTGAGGCAGGGACCGATGGGGAGAGAGAAGAACCGGGAGGACGAGGAAAGTGAGGCATTGAGTGGGTCAACCATAGCCAAAAGGCATTGAGTGGGTCAACCACAGCCAAAGTTGGTGGTAATTGTATTATAAAAACTTATTTGATTTTCAATTTGACCCTAAATATAATAAGCCAATCCTATTTATTTTTTATATTTATTTATTTTTTTTCAAAATAATCCTTATAATAGTTACACATGTTAAATATTTCATCAGATAGTAATTCTAACTAATATACATGATTGGCAAAGGTACTTTAGGAAAGACAATATCTATTTATTACAAATAACTAATTTAACTTTTTTCTTTAACCTACTCAAATTAGTCAACTAGCTTTTAATATAAAGCTAGTTGACTAATTTGAGTAGGTTAAAGAAAAAAGTTAAATTAGTTATTTGTAATAAATAGATATTGTCTTTCCTAAAATATCCTTGCTAATTAAATATGTTGGCTAGAACTACAATTATTACAAGGGCTATCTTGAGACAAAATGTATAAATATGAGAGACAAAGTGGATTGGAATCTTATATTTAGGACTAGAGCTGGTAATACGGGCTGGGCCCGCTAGCCCGCCAAAAAAGGCAGGCTCGGTTGGCAATATGCCAGCCCGCACCGTTTTGAACCCGCTTCGCCGCGGGCTGGCCCGCTTTTTTTTTTTTAAAAAATTTTTTCATATAATTCCTAATATAGTTAAAATATTTTGACCCTCAAATTCCACATGAACAATTAAACATTGCCTTTTTCATATGATTGCATAAGTAATTAAACACTTTATATTTGTGATTCTGTGTGTAGTTATACGAAGATCATCGTCCATCTTTTATTTTTCATTTATTTGTTGTGTCATTATAAAGCCTTTATAAAATTAAATAAACATGTGATACTTATACATTTATACATAAAATATCTACTTAATTAATTTGGATAAGAAACTAAATTACTTTGAATAAAAAAATTAGTTAAATTAATTATTTATAAAAAATTATTAGTTTTTAAAAATATATTCTTAAATTATAAATTAATCTTCACTTTATTTTATCATAATCACTACTCAAATTCAAGATTCGAAACCTAATTTTAACATTTCAAATTAAACTCAACCTATATTAATAATAATAGTTTTTATTTAAAAAAAAAGAATATATGGCGGGCTCGGGCTGGCACAAGGTGCGGGCTACTTCAGCCTGCACCGCTTTGGGCCTGCATCGCTGCGGGCTAGCCCGTATCCGCACCGCCAGCCCGCATTACCACCTCTATTTAGGACTAAGATAAAAGTCAAATGAGGTTTTATATTAAGAACTAAAAGTAGTATCAATTATAAGATTCATATGTAGAGTAAATTGTTTATATTAGACCGGAGGCAGTATATTTGAATTTGTTGAATGCCGACCACAGAATGTCTGTTGAAGAGGTCGTTAAGTTTGAGCCATAACTGAACAGGAGATTTTTATGTCGAAATTATGTTCAAATCCCATGGACGGTAACTCCACGAAAGAACAAGAAAATATGGGGACCCTTTGACACATTGTCAACTGTGATAGTTGGATAAGATTTTATCACTGTCCTTGGTTTTGTGCATTTTGCTGTAAAGGCCACGTAGATGAGTAATATAAATCCAAATATGGAGAACACAAATTCGTTTTATTGCGCTAGAGAAATCATATTGGAAATTAAGGGATGGACAAGCAGAATTAATTTGCAGAAGATAAGATATTAGAGGGAAATGGTGACTATGGCCGCAATTTTGTTGGATGCAGCACTCTTGACTCGTAAGCAGATGAAGTTGAAACACTTGAATGAGTCAGAGGCTTAGAGCATGCATTAGTTGAATCCAGACAATTAGAAGACTTGTACAGAGCAAGATAGATGACAGAGAAAATAATGCTAACTCTGCTATTTAATATAAATACTGGTTTGACATTCAATTTAGCGTTAAATTAATATAAGATCCCAATCTACTCTGTCTCTCATATTTATCTATTTTTTTCAAGGTAGTTCTTATAATAGTTGTACATATTAAATGTTTCATTAAATAGTAGTTCTAACTGATACACATGATTAGCAATAATATTTTAAGGAAGACAATATCTATTTATTACAAATAATTAAATTAATCTTTTTAATATCTGCAAATTAATTGTTTTGTTTTTATATTAAGCACAGGAAGGAAGTACAGTAATCAGGGAATTCACGGGAAATCTAATATGCAGAGAGGTGAAATTCTGAAGGCCGTGAGATGAACACGACAACAGCAGGTGAGCGGTGCCAACGCTCGCTTGTTTTCTACATCATGTCATAGTAACAAACTTCTACTGTTTAGCAGTGGTTTGTTCTAGTTTTTATTTGCTGTGTAATTCCCTTATTGTAGTGTGTGTATACAGTTCTACAGGTTCGGTTAAACGTACGAACACATAATTAATTTGGAGCTTTCAGTAACTGTTTGACCTGACTTCACTCCCTGAGAGAAAGTACTGCGATGACAATGCAAGATCAAAAAGCACACTTGGGTCATGCTAAGCAAGATCAAATGTTGATTATATGGTGCCTTGGTGCTCATTAATGAACTAATTATACAGTGGCATGAATTATCTTAACTAGAAGGGAGTGTATTATTTTAGGTACATACTTAGAATCTAGGTAAAATCAATGAACTGATTAATAGGCACCGATGCATTAACTAGCACCTGCCTGTCGTATTATATAGACCAATATAATAACAGCATATTGTTACAGAAACAGAGTAGCACCGTATTTGGCGGAGAGGGGATATTCGTAGATATTATAAGATACAATCATTCTGTTACTATAGATAATTATAAGCATTTATCTATTTTCTCTAACATGCCCCCTCAAACGAAGGGGTGTGGGACACAGGCCGAGTTTGCCTCGTAATCTCGTGAATTGAGTGTGTGTCAAAGCCTTGGTTAGACAGTCTGCAACCTGAGACGTTGAAGGAACATATCTAACATCGATGACTCCTGAGAGAACTTGATCGCGAATGAAGTGAATGTCAATTTCCACATGTTTGCTCCGAGCATGCTGGACTGGATTTGATGCGAGGGCTCTAGCGCTAAGATTATCACACCAGATAACTGATGGTTGTCGGAGCATGAGACCAAGCTCAAAGAGTAACGAATTTAGCCACTTAACTTCTGCAGCTCCATCAGCTAGTGCCCTGTATTCGGACTCAGTACTTGACCGAGAGACGACCCTCTGTTTGCGAGATGACCATGAGATTAAGGTCCCTCCAAAATATACGCACAGTCCTGCCATAGATTTCCTATCATCAACATCAGTTGCCCAATCTGCATCGGTAAAAGCCATCAACCGAAATGAATTTAAGGGTTTAACATGCAGCCCAAAATGATAGGTTCCCTTGAGGTACCGCAGGATCCTTTTGACACCTTGAAAATGCACTGTAGTGGGATGAGAGAGGAATTGACTCAGCTTGTTGACCGAATAAGCGATATCAGGTCTCGTTGAGGTTAAGTATTGAAGTGAGCCAATTGCCTTCCGATAAAGAGAGGGGTTTGTCATGAGTTCACCGTCA